ATGTGCAGAGATGGTCTCACCTTTGTGAAGGACATCATGGCATGGTGAGCATGAGGGCCAAGGGACAGAACATGGCCAAGAGAGCAGAGCTGGGGACTCCTGTTTTAACCCTCCAGCCCCTAATTTGGCAGCGCAAAATATTTGGGGGGGGGAAGCAAAAATTTAAAAAAGTGACATTACCCCATCTTAGAAGTGACTGCTGATCCATCATTAGCTCTTCATGTCACCCCTTTCCATCTCAAAGATTTGCATTATCTTTTAACTATTTTTCCACAAACTTTTTGAAGCACTCTTGTATATATACATATATATGACTTTATTTTTTAGAGCAGTTTTAGATTTATAGCATATGTGGGAGGAAGGTACAGAGATTTCCATATATCCTCTACCTTCACATATGCACAGCCTCACCCATTACCAACATCCCCCACCAGATTGGGACATTTGTTACTATTGATAAGCCTACATGGACACTTATTTTCACCCAAAGTCCATAGTTTACTTTAGGGTTCACCTTTGATGTTTGTTTTATGAGTTGGGACAAATACAGTCATCCCTCAGCACCTTAGGGTATTGGTTCCAGGAGCCCCCACAGATACCAAAATCCAGATGCTCAAGTCCCTTACATAAAATAGCACATTTTGCATATAGCCTATGAACATTTTCCCTTGTACTTCAAATTATCTCTAGATTACATATAATGCCTAGTACACTGTAAGTGCTGTGTAAATAGTTGTTTTACTGTATTGCTTTTTAGTTGTTTTTTTTTTTTTGCTTTATCCCCCAAATATTTTTATACACAATTAATCGAATCCACAGATGCAGAACTGTGTATATGGATGGCCAACTTTTGTAATAACATGTATCAACTATTAAAATATCATACAGAGCAGTTAACTGCCCTAAAATATCCTCTGTGTTCTGCCTATTTCATCCTTTCCTGCCCCCTCCCCTGCCCCATTCCCTGCCACCTTTCTACTGTCTCCACGGTTTTGTCTTAATAATGTCATATAGTTGGAATGCAGCCTTTTGATATTGGCTTCTTTCACTTAGGAATATGGATTTAAGTTTCCTCCATATTTTTATATGGCTTGATAGCTCATTTATTTTTAGTACTGCTTAATATTTCGTTTTCTGGATGTTCCTGTTTATCCGTTTTGTCTACTGAAAAACACCTTGGTTGTTTTCAAGTTTTGGCGGTTAGGAGTAAAGCTGCTATAGACATGTGTAGGTTTTTGTGTGAACATATCTGAAATATTTTTAAAGCCAGATTTATTGAGGTACAATCTACATACAATAATATTCGCCATTTTCAGTGTACAGTGTGAGAGTTTTGACAAATGCATACAATCGTGCAATCAGTACCACAATCAAATCAGGTAGCAGTTCCCTCACTCCCCGAAATTCCCTCCTATCCCTTTTTAGTCAATTGCTTTCTCGACTTCCAGCCCTTGGTAATAACTGGACAGTTTTCTTTCTCTATAGTTTTGCCTTTTCCACAGTGTTGTATAAATGGTGTCATACTCGTTCTGTGTATAAATATCCTTTTGAATCTGACTTCTTTCATTTAATGTGATGTATTTGAGATTCATCCATATGATTGTATGAGATACAAATAGAAAATAAGGTGATAAATAATAAGGCCCCAAATCATTAATTATCAGAAAAATGCAAACTAAAACCACAATGAGATACCACTACACACATTTGGCAATGGCTAAAAAAAAAAAAAAGAAAACCATAGTACCAAGAGTTGGCAAGGATGCAGAGCGATGGAAACTTTCATGTCTGGTGGTCACAGTCATTTGGCTGTTATGCCAAGATGAGCATAAAATGCTGTGTGCACTCTTAACAAAAGTTTGGCAGCTCCTTACACAGTTAACCATACACTTATCATATAACCCAGCTTTCCCACTGCTAGGTATTTATCCTAGAGAAATGAAAAATTAGGTTGCCAGAAAACCTGTATTCAAATGTTCATAGCAACTGTATAATTGCTAAAAATTTAGAAACAACCCAAATGTACATCAGTGGGTGAATGATTAAACAAATTGTATTACATGTACAATGGAATACTACTTGGAAAGAAATGATTTATTGACACTGGCTACAGAATGGAAGAACCTCGAAAGTACTGTTATGCTTTACCATGTGATAATCTAATTTACATTTGATAAAAGATTATTAGATACCAGACTATAGATTTATATAATTTTAGATATGCACATCATTACATAGCATAGCAATATTGTATATGTACTATATATTATATATCACATTGTAGTATTGTATATTCCTTGCCACAATAAAATAGTTTCCATTTTATGTAGGGTATAGTATCTATTGTATGATTGTATATTGGATTATGTAATATTTATGTTTTATAAATCAAGCTTTTACATAACATTTTAATTATTTCTATGTTCACAGATTTGCATTTGAATGTTCATAGTGTAAAGTTATAACACTAATAAAAGGCATTGTATGGTCCAGAAACCGTGTAGTTGTAAGTGGTCAACGTTGTTATTTGTCAGCAATCCCAACTCTGCTATTTTAACATTAGGGAAGCTTGCTCTGGCTTTGAGCCTTTGCACCAACTATTTCTCTGATTCTGCTTCCTTGCACGAACTATTTCTCTGATTCTGCTTCTCCAGTGCCCATGAAGCTTGCTGCCCTCTCCCATCTTTGGAGAGTCCCTACTACCCCCATTCTATCCCTGCCCTTGTATCTGAAGTATCATAGCACTTGGGGTCACTTCCTTATGCCTTATTTTCTACTGTCTTTGTGCTGCAAGTACCACCATCTGACCTGATACTAAATATTTCTTTTTTGGGCTTTACTTTTTTTTTTTCATTTTTATTATTTATTATTAGCATATCCATTATTACAAATTGTGATTTTTCTTTATGCCCTTCACCTGACCTATCACTCCCCTAACTCTCTTCCTTCCCCTGCCACATCTCTAGTATCCTTAGGTTTGTTCTCTCCTTCTGAAAGTTTAATGTATTGTTACAGTCTCTTCTTTCTTTCTTCTTTCCTTCCTTCCTTCCTTCTTAGCACCCAGTTATGAGTGACAACATGCAATATTTCTCTTTCTTTGCCTTATTTCACTTAATTTTCTCCAGACTCATCCATGTTGCTGCAAATGGCAGTATTTCATTCTTTTTTATGACTAGTATATAGCATTGTGTGTGTATACCACATTTTCCTTACCCAGTTGTCCATCAATGGACACCTAGATTGGTTCCATATTTTGGCTGCTGTAAATAGAGCTGCAATGAACATGAGAGTGCAGGTATCCCTTCAATGTGATGATTTCCATTCCTTTAGATAAATACCCAGTAGCGGGATTGCTGGATCATAAGGACAAAAGCCATATGATTATCTCAATAGATGTAGAAAAAGCATTCCACAAAATTCAAAATCCTTTCATGATAAAGACTCAGCAAATTAGGTATAAAAGGAAATTATCTCAGCACAATAAAAGCCATTTACTACAAACCAATTATCAATATCATCCTGAATGGGGAAAAGCTTCCTTAAGAATAGGAACAAGACAACAATGCCCACTCTCACCACTCCTATTTAACAGTATTGGAAGTACTAGCCAGAGCATCAGGCAAGAGAAAGAAAGAAAGGGCATCCATATTGGAAAGGTCAAA